GAAATGGCGTATCTTTGGCTATGTGCATTTTCACAAAAGAAAAAAAAAAGTTGAGAATTTAGAGGGTTAAAATGTTGTGGGGTTGTTAACTAATGTCATAAAACAGCATGTGTGTTACTGTTATATGAGAAACTATCTGTTCTGTAAGCCTTCACCTGAAGTACAATAAAATATTTAAAAAATCAAAAAAAAAAAAAAAAAAGCTGAACTGGCAAAAGCTGTGCGACAGATATATTTACAACAAGAAAAAAAAAGAGTAGCTGCTGAGGCTGCTTATGTACAACCAAACACCTCATGGGATTTGGTTCCCTGGTTTGGAGGTTTAGGGTCATGGTTTCATAGGATATCCAGTTAATTGGCCTAATAATGTGTTTAGTGCTTCTCTTCTACCTCCTAGTTTGTTGCGCACTGCTAGGGGTCTTAACAGCTTGCAACTGGCCATCCAAGGCACAATAATTGGTCTCTATTCACCTGGAGCAACAGAGGAAGGAGAGTTAGGAATAGGAGGATGATTTGGAATGTGTGGCCCAAGAACAACTGCCTCCTTTGCCAAGAGACCAGAAGAACTGGATGGTGCCCAGCTACCATTACTGAACATTTTTATCAAAGAATCCTGATCAAAAGGGGGAAAACACAGAACAGAATTTTAAATTCTCATGAGCTCTAGACTTTTGGAGGCATGGAAGGTGGATGAACCCCTGAAACTATTGCCCTGAGATAACCTTTAAACCTTAAACCAAAAATATCCTCTGAAGTCATCTTAAAACCAAACAATAGTTAAGGTTAACTAATAAAAAAAGATCTGCCTCGAGCATTATGCTCTTTTAAGAACTATCCATATGGGATCAAATTGATAACATCAACTCCAAAGATTAAATAGGAACATTGGGAGGCAGTGAGTTTATGTTAATGAGGGAAGAACAACCCAGAAAAGGAGCATGAGAATGGCTGCACAACTCAAAGAATGTAATCAATGTCACTAAATTGTACATGTAGAAACTGTTTAATTGGTGTATGTTTTGTTGCACGTATTCTCAACAACAAAAATAAATAAAATTTAGGGAAAAAAAGGCTACATGTAACATCTAGGAACGAATATTTTAAACATCAAATTAGATGTAGCTAAGAGAAAATTAGTAAATCTGAGGAAACTACCCAGAAAGCAAAACAGAGAGATGATGAGATGAAAAATTCAAAAGGAAAGTTAAGAATCAAGAATGATACAATGAGAAGATCTGACATATGTCTAATAACTATATACTGTTTAAAGTCACATTTAAAACAAAGAATACAGAAAGGCTGGAAGGAGTGGACAAAGATAACAAAGCAAATAGTAACCAAAAGAAAGTTGTCTTTAGCAAAATAACCTTCAAGACAAAAAACACCAATAAGGATAAAGAGGATCATTCTAAAATGATAAAAGGAATAATTCACCTCATGTGTACTGAAAAGTAAAGCCTAAAAATATCAAAGCAAAATGTGACCAAATTACAAGAAGAAATTCACAATCACTGTGGAAGAATTAACTCATCTCTCTACAATGATAAAACAAGTGGACTAAAAAGAGTTATTAGACATAGAAGATATGAAAACAGTTAAGAAACTTGATCTTAAGAGACATAACTTTGTATTCAACCACTGAAAATACCCTCCTTTTTAAAGTTTATGCCAAACACTGACAAAAACGGACTACTGAGCCACAAAACATCTTAACAAATACAAGTACCAACGAACTAACTTCAAAAAAATCCATTCTCTGACAATTAAATTATTAAGGATAGGGGACTTACAGAAAATCCTTTTCTATGCAAAATGAGTCAAAAGAAGAAATTGTATTAAAATTTAGAAAGTATTTAGAGTGGATATTAATATAGATACTCATATTTCACAAAAAAGTAAAAACATAAGAGAAGAAAAACTGATGAAGCAGGAAAAAAGAGATACAAAAGAATATTAACAAAGCCAAAGACTGGTTCTTTAAAAATACTCAAAGTCTCTGCAAGACTGATCAGGGGAAAAAACAGGAAAATAACTACAGATAAAACAGATTTAAAAAAAAAATCTGAGGACATCTTTGTATGAATAATTTGACAACTAATTTCCTGGAAAAAAAAATAAGCTTACCAGAACTCCAAGAAGAAACAGAGTATCTTAACAAACCTATAACTATTAGAGAAGCTGACTCAGTAACAAAAGCTCTGCTGTGTTGTTGGGTGCCTTTGAGTTGATTTCGACTCATAGCGAACCTATATGACAGAGTAGAACTGCCTCACAGGGTTTTCTAGGTTGTAAACTTTATGGGAGCAGATCATCAGGTCTTTCTCCCACAGGTTGGAGCTGCCACCCTTTCGGTTAGCACCTAGCACTTAACCATTGTGTCACCAGAGCCCCTTAGTAAAAACTCCAACCATCAGAAAAACAAGAAACACACCAGTTTTAACAAACATAATCAAACTTATCAAAGAACTGATAATCAATCATATACAAATTGTTCCAGAGGAAGAAAAAAAACAGGCAATACTTCTCCAACACATTTGATCCTCAAGTCAAACAAGGGTAATATAATGAATGAAAATCACGCAGTGGTATGCTAGACCTGCTAACACTGGCTTTTGAGAGCTAACTGTGTGCATCTCTTCCCAACTCCATGCTGAGTGACATCAGGAAAAAAGCCTGAAATCTGCTATGGTGGGAGTATTCATACCATGGAAATTGGCAAAATCCAAAAGTCAGGACTTTTCTGAAGAAGAGGTTCTTAAAACATTTGCCACCATAGCACTGATTATACACCAATCTCAATTAAAAACATAAAATGCTAAATCCAAACTTAAATTTTAACAAATCTATTCTAGAATTTTTTTTAAAAAGGAGGATAAAATTGCATTCGATAGTTCTAAATTTAAAAACTATATTCACAAAACAATATGTGTATTGTTCAATGAGAAACTAATTTGCTCTTTAAACCTTTATCTAAAGCACAATAAAAAATAGACGAAATAAATTTAAAGAGCTCTACCACTCAAAAAAAAATTAATATAAGTAACAAAGTAATTGAGACAAACTATATGATCTCAAATACAATCACGATAAAACTGTTAGCTAAACTGAGAAAATTAGGAAACACCCATAAGTCAATAAAAAGCATCTAGTAAAAATTTACAAACAGCATACTTAATAGTGAAATGCCAGGACAATCCTTTAAAATCTCAATTAAAACAAAGGAGTCCATTATATTGCTCATATTCAGTAGTGTACTAAAGGTACTGCTTAGCAGGTTACTAAAATTAAGTATATAATAATCAGAAAGGAAGAGACAAATATGTCTCTTCCCAGACATGTGTTTTTAAGAGACTCTACAAATTATTAGACCTATTAAGAAAACACAGCAACATCACTTAAATGTAGGATTAATATACAAATAACAATTACCATTCTTATATGAGAAATAAGCTTTAGAAAATGTAAAGCCTTAAAAAAAACCATTAAGTGACACAAACACAGTTATTCATTGAAGCACTGTTCAAAAGAGAAAAAGATTAGAAAACTTACACATCCATCAGTGCAAGACTTGTTACCTTTGTAGAATATCCTACCACGAACACTACGAATCAAAAGAATGAGGTAGCTGTTTACAGTTTACTGATATTAAATCTCTAAGATATTTTGTTAAATGAAAACAGCAGGGTATAGAACATTATGTAATTTTTCCTAATAGCAGTTTTTTTAGAATTATTTTTATATAATCAGAAGGGAAAATGACTGGATATACATATTTGCTTGTGTGGAATATTACTGGAAGTATACATTCAAAACTGGCAGAAATAGATATTTCTGGAAAGAGGAAACCAGAAAAGGGGAAGAAGGGAAGTTGTTGAGTATATATCATTTTGTACGTTTGAAATTCTGAACCATTAGAATACATTATTCAAATAAAGAGAAATTTTTAAAGTACCATTTACAAAGGCAATAAAAATATAAGGTACTCAGGAATAAAACATGTATAAAACCTTAATGGAAAAAGTTATATATCAATAAATTTAGGGCATTTGAAATCAAAATAGAAGGTCCTCCCTTGCCATGAAATTTCTAAAAACTATATGAAAAAGCAAGGGGTCTGAAAAGTCAAGACAACTATGAAGGAGAAGGTGAGGGACCCTCAACACTAAATGTGAAGCTGTAATACTGACAAGGGATAAACCAAAAGACCAATGGAAAGACTGAGAGGATCTAGAATTTCGCAGCAGTGTGTGTGTGTATGCGCGTGTGTGTGCACGTATGTACATGTATGGGGTGGGGGTTGAGGGTGGGGGGGGCGAGGTGTCAAAGTTATTAAGTCCTAGCAGTTTGGAGACAGTCATAACTACATTTCAAGTAGGCTCTCACTGGGGGGTGGCAAATGTTTTTTAGGGGAAGATAAGAAAAATGGCTCCAGATCCTGATATGTAATGGTTTGAAGCAAGTACAAATATTGACAAAAACACAGATCAGTCATTTCTGATGCCATCAATTTTGAAAGCCCACCATTTTAATCCCACTTTGCTTTAATGATCATGTTATCAGATGGTAGGCATGACTGGATATAATTTAACTAGGAGGTCTAAGCTAGGCCCCATTTATCTTTTGCTATTTATCTAATAATTCCTATTCAGAATTTATACGGAAGATCACAAATTCAATTAATTGAAAATTACTTTGACAAAATGACAATGAATGTAAGAAATACTATATTTAGAAAAGAAATCTTAGGAAATTTATGAATAATTTCTATTGAATATGTAACACAGCAGTTCACTGAAGTGTCAGAAACCTTACCCTTTTCAGGTAACTCTGGACCTCTCCCCCTACTTCTGCCCATCCGGTCATTCCTAATTTCACTTCGAGACTCATTTCTGGAATCACTCCTTACTTCAGCACGAGAACTTTCTTCTCTCAAATGGTTTCTGCCGTAACTCCGGGATTCTTCCTGATATGTTTCCTCCTTTCGATGAGCATCTCGACTCTCACGGTCCCGGTAGTCATGCGCATCTCGAGTGGAACGAGAATCTCTGGGGTCACGGCTGTCTTTGCTGTCTCGGCTATAATCCCTCATGTCCCTAGAGTCCCGCATATCTCTAGAGTCTCTCAGTTCCCTTCGGTCTCTAGCATCTCTGGTATCTCTCCGATCTCGACCATCTCGAGGCTCTCTGTCATCTCTGTGGTCTCTAGAAGAGCTCTGATCCTGTTCATAATCTCGTTCTTCTCTTGTGTCCTTTTCTCTATCCCTTTTGCCTTTAGTCTCTGTAATGCAGTTTTGGAAATCAACTGTAACTCCTTTTACAAAGTTTCAGGCAACTAGACAATGTATTTAATGCACAGCTTTTAAAATATTGGCAAATAAGAAAATTAAAACTATTCATAAGCCAAAATCCCAAGGATAATTTTATTAACACCTGGAGAACTATGGTCCTGATTAGATTGGAACATAATTCCTCTGCTGCCCTCCTACCCAAACTTATAGAGCCTAAATAATCAAAACAAGGAAGTTGAGCCTGTATCATTAAAGGTTTACTTTTTAAAAACTACTTTCAGATCCAGAGGCTCACAATAACTTTAATCACTTCTACCAAGTATTCAGACTAGACCAGAGCACAAAGCATCACCTCAAAAGTACTCGAGCATCTGAGAGTAGCCTACAATTAGTAAGCTATCTGGCAAAGAGATACTGCAATTCACTCTCCCTTTTCCTGAGCTGTTAAATGGTATCACATTCCTGTGTATACCAGTCTCTAAAGCTTTCCTACACATAGAATTTTCTAACATTTCATAGAAACACAAAAAAATAATTTTTTAAAAAGTTGAAATGAACCTCACTGATTAGCTAATCCAACCCTGTCGTTTTATAAATGAAGAAATAGAGGCCCAAAGTTCAAATGGCTTCGTCAACCACATAAAAAAAGAAGAAAAAAACCCACTGCCGTTGAGTCGATTCCAACTCACTGCAACCCTGCAGGATAGAGCAGAACTGCTCCATAGGGTTTCTGAGGCTGTAAATCTTTACGAAAGCAGACTGCCAAATCTTTCTCCCAAAGAGCAGCTGGTGAGTTGGAACTGCTGACCTTTCTGTTAGCAGCTGAGTGCTTAAGTCAACCCCATCCCTCATGGGAATCTGCAAAGATTAGAAATTACTCTTCAGATATGCCTAAAATAGGCATAACTTAATACAGCATAAATCTTATCTGAATTAACAAAAGAACCAAAGAACAAATTCTGCCCTTTTTATCAGACTCCTGTAGCTCTTACACTCTGTTAATTACCCCAAGATCTGAGGCTATTTTAGCAACTGCAGCAGCCTTGTGCCTATGACACTGTAAATTTACCTCCTCTTCTCTCTGTCCCAGTGGCTACGCCCATGGACTTTCTCAAGGAACCAAATATCCAGTACCCACAAGACCCCTAGACTCTCATATCAGGAACCTATCTCCCTCAGCAATTACTTTATCAATGTGCCTAGATCCACAGATGCCATTTAGGGATAGAAGTACCAGACAAAGATCTGGCAGATCTCCAGCCCTTTGGATGTACATCTACAACTTCTATTCCTCCAACACCAGCTGTGCCTAAAAATTTGCTTACTTTAGTTCCAGATCCTTTTCTCCTGATTTCCCATCTGTCTTTACAAACACATCTAGGAATTGTATCTTGTTCTTTACCTGCCTCCCATCCTTCCAGTGAAACTATCCTTATTTCAGAAAATGACACCTAAACAGCAAAAAACATCTGCTGTATCTCTTACATGGAAGGTTAAAGAAACACTCTCCTTACAAAGCACTTAAATATATATGATTTGTTATTAAAAGAATTCTTCCTATAAGCCCCTCTTACCACAAAGCATTCCTACAAGGCTCAACTACGTACTATCTTCCTTTCTTTAGTATGTTTAATAATTATGTTTTGCAATAATGAAGGAAAGAATTTTCTTCTAGTAAGTATTCATTAAATGTATACTATATCCCTAGTCAACTCTAGTTGTTAAATAGCTTATTAAAATTGATAGACAGGTATAAGAGAATTTTCCCATCTTACCAATGTTCCATAAATACTGTTGTGCTGATCTGGCTCCAAAATCATGTACACAAGGAATAATTCTATAAAATAGGTGCTCTCTCCGGTCCCTACCTATGCATCCATCATTTTCTTGAATAAAAGAACTTGATTAATTATTGCTTGCACTGTTGATAGGAAGAGAATAACTAAGTTCAACATGTTTCACAGACTACTGTACTGTACTCACAGAGAGGCTTTTAAAACGCATATTAAACAGAAAAGTTACAAGTAAGCATTTCCTGAGTACTCACTATGTTCAAAAACTAACTCAGGAGAAGTTAGGAAAAAGACCTGTTAAGTTAAATAAACAAGGACAAGAAGCTTAGACAAGAAGTAAAGAAAGAGGTGAGAGGTATTAGACTGTATGCCAGGTAATACTAGTTTCTCAGCTTAAAGAAGGAGTAGCAAATCCAAAGTAGCTTAATTCTCAGGGATCTGGAAAGGAAAACCGCTTTGTTTACTTCCTTGATATAAGTCATACCTAGAAATTTGCTTACGTGGTTTACACTGACCCTCTGAGCGTTCCTCCCAGCTCTTACCCCTTTATCAAAGCACTTTCAATGCTTTCAAACTCTGATCCCTGATTTCCTTCTTTTTTTTCCTTTGCCTCCTTCTTTTTTATAGAAATTAACTAAGCAGTTGAGAGGGATGCTCTACGAATCAGATAACCAATAGTTTCTAAGAACTTAAGAGTACTCAGTAGAGCATCTTGACTAAAGGAAGCACCAACTCAGTATACCTATAAATAAATGCCCACTTGCACGTACTTGATAGCTTACGTTCACGTCATTAGCATCTCCTATCACCCTCAAGAGCTGTAGTCTGTGTTAAAGAAGACTTAAAATAGCACATTCCTCCTCTCTATTATAACAATAAATCTGGATGTACACTTTTTTTAATTAAAAAAATGTTTAAATAAAAGAACTTTTAAAAAATCAGATGAAGAACAATGCATACCTTCCCTCCTTTCGTGACGCCGATCATGAGACTGGGAAGTTCGCTCATGATCATGCCTCCCTTTCTCTCGCATTGGAGAACGATGTCTTGGAGGACTTTGCTTTCTCTGAGGGGAAGACAAAGAATGTGAAGGATAAGGAGAAGCAGAGCGTCGTAAAGGTGGAGTTATCGTCCGCTGATAAGACGGTGAAGGAGTTCTTTTTCGACGAGGAGAAGGAGAATGTCTCTGAATAGATGATCCTGACTGTGAGGAAGATGAATGATGTCTAGAAGATATAGGAGAATGATGCTGTCCAGCAGGGGAAGCAGACCTATCAGGAAAAACAACAAAAAACGTGTTCAACAGTCTTCATTTCTAGCCAAAGGAAAATCTTGACATACAAAAAACTGGATGTAAAAGTTAAAGCTAAAAGAGTGGATAATAATTACAGGATAAATTTTAATTCACAATGCTGTAAAATTACTAATAATTTGATGTTTACAGACTTCACTGATTTTTAAGTCAGCCTGAGCAACAGCTCTAGAGGAGAATGCCTGTAATGCATGGCTGTCGGAAAAGGGAAAACTATCACCGCTAAGCCAAACTTAAAAAGTTTGCTCTGCCTGTGTTGGCATTTAGGATGGGGAAAGAATGACAGGGTTAAGGAAATGACAATAAAATACACATTGTCTTTATTTTAAATAACCTGCCTTCACTCTTGGGCAGCACAAACTGAAATTTAGAACATAATTCTTGGTTTAGCTAAGGCCTCCTCTATTCCCTTCAAATTATCTTCTTTCACTGCTTCCAGGGAAACAACTTATAACCCCAAGAAGCATATCTGAATTACTACTACAGTCTGTTATGTCCTGGGCCCTCTCTATACTGAATGCATGTGTACATGTGTGCATGTGTGTGCATGTGTGTGCATGTGTGTGTATGCATGCATGCAATACTTAAAAATGAACACAACTAATGTTTAGAAAAATAATATTCTAGGTATCACACACCCCAATGAATATCATATCCCTCAAAGCAATTATTTCAGGGACTAGATGGTTATTCAAAAAGATTATGAAATTCTAGTCCAAATATTTTGGAATTACTTTCAGTGACTATGATAAATATTTTTTTAATATCTACAATGGTGGCAAAATCATTATTAATCCCAAACTAGAGTTTCTCTGCTTTGGCACCGCTGAAGTTTTCAACTGAATAATTCTTTGTCGTCAAGGGCAGTCCTGCGCGTTATGGGATGTGTAGCAGCATCCCTGGTCTCCACCTACTAGATACCAATAGCATACTCCCAGCAAGTCATGACAATAAAAAATTACTCCAAATATTGTCAAATGTCCTCTGGGAAGCAAAACTGCTGCCTGGTTGAGAACCACTGCCCTAAACTATGTTGTTTATAAATGATGCCTTAGTCCATCTTTTATCAATAAAGGGTCAAATCTATAAAATATCTGCGACTAAGTCAGGAAAGTGATCTAATACATTAAAGAGGTTTTTTGTAGAACATGCACTTAAGCAAATAAACAATAACACCTTTTAGATAATGCTGTTCTTTTTAAGTGTCACTGAGTCAATTTTCAACTCAGAGACCCAGTGCGTCAGAGTAGAACTGCCCCATAGGGTTTTCTTGGCTGTAGTCTTCACGGTTTCTCCCACAGAGCTGCTGGGTGGGTTTGAACCGTTCACCTTTCGGTTAGCACTCGAGTGCTTAACCATTAGGCCACCAGGGCTCCTTTTTGGATAAGAGCTGACTAAAAAAAGTCAGCTAACTAGAATACCAAATTTGCTTAATCATTCTAGTTATCTATGATTCTACTGAAACTTTAAGCTTTTAATAAAAATTTTTATTAGTCATATTAAAATATTTAAGCAATCAAGCCACTATAACTTAACCAATTCTAAACAGAAATTTATTTACTTACACATACAAGTGGAAATGCCCAATGGGCCTTACCCAAATTTAGAAAACATTTATGATTAATGGTCATTCAAATGCATCCTATTAAATAGAAAAATCAATTCAAGTTTGAGAATTAGAATCACTGTCTTTTGGTGCTTTTTAATTTCAGTTTCATCAGGTTCTAGTCTAAAACGGTAAAGGTGACATAATCTACCTAAATTGATAAAATAAAAAATGGGGCTCTCCATTGAAAAGGCATTTTGGTTAGTTTTGAGTTTATTCCTAAAGTATACTCAAAATTGTTTCTAAAATGTGTACAACAGCTTTTGGTGATTAATCTACAGAACTTAAAAAAACATACACATACTTTTAAAAGCCACATTATTGCCCAATCATGTTTCTACTCAATTTTGGTGAATGATATGGAATAAAAAAAACTTCACTTCAAGCTTAGGAAAAACAAACTATCATATAAGGCCAGAGCGCCCATGCGTTATCAAGTTGTGGCTTTTAATCACATTCTTTCTTCTTACCCATCCTGCAGAGAAAAAAAAGTTTAAGAAAATTACTAATTTAGACATCATTATGTTTTCCTCTCTGTTACTATGCTTTTTAGAGTTTGATGAACGAAGAACAAACAGCAAAAAGAGAGGACATGATTATCAAAACAAAATGGGTCAGATTATGTATGTGTGCCTAACTGGACTTATGTCCATTCTGCATATACAAAAAGTGTGACTAAGTAATAAAACCATCTTGAAATCTGACCAAAATTATTAGCACTTTGGCTACAGACTACAGCAAAGACATATGAAAATATATTTAAACTTAAAATAGCAATAAGTCCAGATTAACTATTCTTATCCTCTAGAATTACTGTTTTCTTATGGGGTGGGGGGAGAGGGAGAGTAGGTGACATCTAGAATTCAAATAAAGAATTTATTGCAAGAAGAGAAGCTTAATACCTTAAAACACAAATCTGCATACTGTCAGCAAGAGCACTGTCATTTATAGCAGACAGGGAAAACCAGTCTGTACTCTGAATAGATTCCAATGAAAAAAACTTTTTAATGCTCCTATAATGAAGACATGATGTGGTGTGTGAATATGCAGGGTATATTTCATTTTCAGAAAAAATGTGAAAAGGTTAAGTAATTTAAAAAGAAAAACTCCTCTTGTTCATGACACAAATAATTTCACCTGTAAACCAGTATGTTATTTCCAGACTTTCTTAAAAAATAACAATACAAATGTTTCTCAATAAATTGTTTCTATTTCAAAAATATGAAAATATGTTTATGTAACTAACATTTATAATTCAACCTTTCAAATCTCCATGTAAAAAGTATACTCCTTCCCCCAAAATAAATGGGCTATGGGCAGTATCATAATCAACTCTATCTTCAGTGGTAAAATACAACATAAGACACATTTCAAACAGAAATACTTCAGTCTTATTATTTTACAAAGAAATTTATTCTTCTTAAAATAATAGGCCATTTTAATTCACTCGACAAATATTAAATCACCTTCTATGCCTCAAGCATTATTTTTGGTGCTGAGGATACAGAGGTGAAGACGACAGATAAAAAGACTAACATGATAACATGATAGTATTAACAACAACAGCAGCTAACACATGTACCGTATTGCTATGTGCATAACACTGCTTTAAGTGCTTTACATATGTTGTCTAATTTAATCTTTATAACAACTCTATGAATAAACTGAAACAGGTTTCACAGCTCGCAAGTGGTACAACTAGGATTGAAAATTAGTCTGTCTAGAAAGACAACAACAAAAAAGCAAGGCAATTACAGCTAATTAATACAACAAAGTCTATAAAACAAGGTAAAAACAAAGCAAAACAAAACTGTTAGGTCCAAAAGAAAAGGAAAACAGTCTGTCAGGTGGACTACTTACGGTGGCTTGTTAAGTGCAGTGTAATGAATTACTTAATATGGCCCTTCTAGCCATGGTCTTTGTGACTCACACAATGATTGAGCAGGACTATGCAAATAAGGTATATGGAACCTGTGATGGTTCCAGTTTGTGTTAACTTGGCTAGGCAATGATTCCCAATATTGTATGGTTGTCCTCCATTTTATGTGTTGTAGATCCTGACCTTTACACATTGATGAGACTGGACTGGTGTAGGGTGTGTCTTGGGTGGAAGCCTTGCAGGAGGTCGTGACTCAAGTCCCATCCTTATTCAAGTTATGGCCTTCCCTGAGGTGTGGCCTGCATCTAAGGTATATATGGAAATGACCTGGTGGGGACCTCTCTCTGTGCATCTGGATCCCACATCCGGTTCATGATTAACTGACCTCCAGTTCTTGGGACCTGAGCCAGAAGCCTGCTGAATGACCTGCTGATTCTGGGATTCACCAACCTCCACAGCCCCATGGGCCAGCGGCCTATCATCTGACCTGATCTGCCAGCTTCCATAGCCTTGTGAGCCAGTAGCCTGTGGTCTGAACTGCCAGTTTTGGTTCGTCAGCCCCTGCAGCCACGTGGCCTGGGAGAAGCCCATGCCTGACCATGAATTTAGGGCTTGCCAGCCCCCACAACCACATGAGCCATTTCCTTTGTACAATTCATGAGTTCTGTCACACGTTGTGGTGAATTACAGAACCCAAAGACAGGAGGGAGAGTACTGAGGGGAGAGAGTAGTTGATGTTAGAGATGCAGTGGTACAGCAGCCTGGAAAAGTCAGACATTTGGGACATCTTTAACTTCGGCCTCATAGGAACCAGCTTTGTGCTGATCCTTATAAAATAAATTATTCGCTTAGTTAGGAAAGAGCCTCTACTTAGGAGATGATATTTGAACTTAGACCTGAAAGAACTGAGGGCAGTTTTCCATGCAGAAGGCTGAGTAAGAATAAGGGAGGCAGGAGAAATGATGATATGTGAGAAGAACAGAAAGAACACGCATAGCTACAATTTATTGGTGGGCAGAAATCACAAGACAGTCAGAAAGAAGGCAGGGGCCAGATGATAATGGAGTCATGGTACAGGTTTGGATTTTATTCTAAGCATTAGGGAAATCACTGGAGAATTTCAGGCAGGAAAGTATCATTTAAAACCTAGCAAGATCTTACTCACCTAAATAGACCAATAAGATAAAGAAAATGTTTCTGTATGATGATTTGTTTTAGACCTAGTACCCTGCTGTCCCTTTGAAGCTGTTGTTGTGTGCTGTCGAGTTATTTCCCACTCATAGTGACCCTACAGCACAGTCTAGAACTGCCCTATGGACTTTTTTAGGCTGTAATCTTTACAAGAGCAGATCACCAGGTCTTTTCTCCTATGGAGTGGCTGGTGGGTTCAAAGCAGTGACCTTTCAGTTAGCAGTTGAGTACTTAACCATTGCGCCACCAGGGCTCCTTTCCCCTCTGTCAAAACCAAACCAAA